ATGATTGTTATCACAACTAATACTCCTTTAAGCATGAAGGACACAAGGTCACTTTTATTCCTTTGACGCCTAAAGAAGTCCAACAAGATCAGATTTGTATGAGAAGGAGTGTCCAAACCTTGTGAATGGATAAACCACCATTGAAGGTTGAAGACGGACAATACATGAAATCGAATTTTTTTATGAAGAAGTATGATGGTTCATTACTGGAAAATAAAAGGATTCCAACGAATAATGGTGATGGTGCGGTTCAATGTCACAACTCTTCATCAAAGGTTATGATTCATCAAAAGGTAAGTACCCTTTCATTTAAAACATCATGTCTTTTCACTTTTCAGGAGAAGCCAAATGAAATGTTACTTCCAACAAGGATATCCTTAGAAGAAGATCATTCCGAAAAGGTACCTGTTGGTAAGTTATATTCCAAGGAAAGGCATATTAGGAGATCTTATGAAAGGGTACCTATTGGAAGAACACATTCGTCCAAAGGATACTTTCTTTTTCCAAAAGAACACAAAGCTAAGCATTTGGAAGAACATAATGATAAACACTTCAAGTATACCAAAGGCTTCGATTTGAGGATAAATCGCCCTAAAGAAGGGGGATGATGCAAGCACATTCTCACCATATGCAAAGGGAGTATTTCTAAACCTCTTAATACTTTACTTTCTTCATATAATTATCATATATTAACTAATAATGCATATCATGCTAAGATTGTTACTTATGTGATTTCATAAGTAAAGTAACTTAATACATATCCACATCTTTTATATTAATTGATGCACAATGTTATTTCAAGAATATATTTATGTTATATTAGTTTTGCATTCATTTAAGTATGTTTCAATTCATTCATGAAATGACAACATACTTAATCATTCATTTCTTAGATCATTTGTATTCAATTCAGCTCATAAGTTTTATACATTAGCTTACCTATGTTATATCATCATGCTCTTAGCTCATGACATGCATTCATAGCTCACAAGATCATATACATGCACGAAAGCAAGGTAATTGATTCATTCCAACTCATTTCCTTTGATTTACCTTGTTTTATTTGCACATGTAGGTACATGGAAGTAAAGAACACATTGGGGTAGCTTGTGGTAATATTTGGAATTCATATGCAGCTTACAGTTAGCTCACAAGCTTCATGGAAGCTCATGGAACACAATGGGGTAGCTTGTGGGAATATTTGGAATTCATATGCAGCTCACAATTAGCTCACAAGCTTCATTGCAGCTCATAGAACACAATGGGAAGCTCAAATCAGCTAGAGGATCACAAGGTTAACTAAACTCAGCTAGATGGACTATTTGAAGCTAAGTTGATAAAATTGATCAAGTGACCAGCTGAAAGTAGCTACAAGAGATGTTACGGAAACAAGGAGGACTTGACTGGAACAACAACTCATAACAGCCCACTTGCTTGTTAGCTACATGCACACCTATGTTAGCTTGAGGGAGAACTCACAAATGCCCAAGGAAGGAGATGCACATGACCAGCTTCATCCAATGGACAAGGCTGTACCACAAGCATCCCTAGAACTCCCATGTACATGCCCATGTCATCAGCAAGTGTGTGCAATGCATGTGACTCTCCTATGTGCACCAAACACCAAGGGATTTCACCTTTCGGCCAAGGCACCTATCCATTCACTTTGGTGCCAACTTGAAGGGGTTCAAGCATTATCCAACCAATGATTACATCTTCTAATGTTAACCGAACCAACACCTATGCTTTCAATTTAATTATTCAATTAATTATGTATTTTCAAAGAGATACAAGGGCTAGCCGAACCATTAGGTACCCCATTCGGCTATGTCTCTTCAAAAACTATAAATAGGCTAGTCCTATTCATTTGTAAACACCTTTCATATTAATTAAAGTGAGATTATTCTCTTTTCTCAAGTCTTTGTGATTTTTATCGACTTATCAAGTAAATTCAAACTTGTGGCGTCAACCTCTATTTTATTGATACTTGTGGTTCCTATCTCTTTATAGATAGTGGGTCCAAGTCCTTTTATACTATCCCTTAGAGAGATTTGTAAGGTTGGGTCTTTGATCGTTGTAGCATTGGTTCTTCCTTGGTCTTTCTAAGATACTATCATCACCAACCATCCTTTCATTCATAAGCCTACACCATGGCCATAACAACAATACTTCTGCTACATATCTCTTATCATAAATAACCCTCCATTTCACCTTTACATCAACTACCAAACCATTCTGTTTGAGCCTTTCACTTATGCATGTTGTTTTGCTTCCTTCCTAGATCCACAATTAATTAAGGTAAGAGTACCTTACATCATTGGAAATGGAGGAAAGTCATCAAATGCATGAGGTAGCATCTCCTAAAAATAAGCGTTCAACACTACATTTTGCTCCTTTACATAAGTAAAAAGGTTTGGAGCTTGTGATAGATTTCTTCTAACTCCTCATTGTTGTTGCATGTAGAGGCAACTACTGAGGTCAGTCTTGCTGCAGAAAAAGTTTTGGCTCCTCCATCCAGTTTTTCAGCTGGAGCATCTTGGTTGAATCCCCTTATGGCTAGGATTTTCTTTGGGGTTAAGCCTTCCTTGCCAGCATAGGTTTCAATTTAAGACCCAAGTCTTAGGTTTTGGGTAAGGTTTGAGAAAATGGGTTTTTGAGAGTTGAAAGAAATATAAAGTGTTTTAATTTGCTTTTGGGTATATTTGAGTTATTGGAGTTGTATTTAAGCTTAACTCAACATATAGTTGAGTAGTAATCCATTTCCTTCTTAGTTTAGTTAAAGATGTAGAAGAGAGTTTTAAAGCAAATGATAAGAAGAATGTGATTTCTAGTTGAATTAAGATAAGCTTTAGCAACCAAGGAGGTCAGGTAACACACTCACAACTCTTTCATACCCTAAGTTGGTTATTAGAAATGCAAGATAGCTAGAAAGTTGAGTATGGGCATGTTAAGTAGATTTTCATGGTAGATTGTATAATTTATGTTTTTAAAGTGTGTCAAAGCCTTTTTTATGACCCCCAAGATCAAATAAGACTTAATAACACATTGGAAAACCTTAAGGTAGGAAAATTAGAGAGTTTAAGGGGTAAATTTGTGCTAAATAAGGCATGATTAAGGGTGAGTATCTATACTGCAAGAAACAATATCGATACTATTCATGTTTAAGGCATAAAATCAATAGTTTTGAAGAGCAATATCGATACCCCTTAGAGGAGTATCGATACTGAAGGTCTGGTATCGAGACCAGGGTGCTCGGTATCGATACCGGGAGTCCATAATGCCATTTTGATATCGATAATATAGGGAGTATCGATACCCAAGGTCCTAGTACCGATACTCATATGCGAGTATCGATAATCCCTCTTTCTTTGAAATTATTTTAGCAATAGGGTATCGATACTTTGAGTGGGCTATCCATAATGAAGTGAGGGTATCGATACTGTAAGGCCAATATCAATACCAAGGTTAAGATTTGAGCTTTAAAGCAAGAAGAGTTGTAGAGGCAAGTGAGGGTATCGATACTGTAAGTCCAGTATTGATACTTAGGGTAAGAAATGAGCTTTAGTTTTGGAGGAATGATAGAATTAAGTAAGGTTTCCCAAAAGCATATAATTACCCCGAATAAGACTACAAGTGAGAACAATATTAATGTTTATTTCAAACGTATAAAACGATAATAAATAGGGTCAAATAAGACGAGCCTTGTTTGAATGCTCGGGAAACGACCAAGACACCATAGTTCTTTTAGAAAAGCTAGCAGAGTCGAAAGTATATATTCAGTCCGGATATATCCTTAGGGAGTGCGCAAGACACTTTAAGTTGACTAACTAAAGTCGAGGCTTGACACTCGCAAGGGGTAGGTTAGTCGAGGGTATGGTATCCGATGCAGAGATTCTAGGGGTCATATCCTCGGTAGACTAGAGGGGTGTGTGAGCTCTAAGATACAACCCCTCAGCTGCTCCATGATGTCTACCGTAGAGTAGAAATTAAGTATACAAGTATACTACTAAAGCAGAGTAGAGTAGAGTAGTAGACTTGATAACAAAGTAGTAGACTAGATAGCATGAACGTTTCAGTGATGCACTTTTAGTATGCCATAGTTGTTAGTGTGGTGTTGAGCGAGCTAGTTCAGCCTTCAGATGTTTTCATTGGCAGGTTAGTAGATTGTCCAGTTCAAGAAAATTTAGAGTGACCAAGGTCCAGACCCAGTACAGAGTAGAGTACGTCATCAAGAACTTTTTAAGGGCATATATTGTTAAGTTAAGTCATAAAGTCAGTCAAGAGTTAGTCTGCATATTTTTTAAATGTATTTATTTATTTTGAGAGCTCTCAGTTGTAAAGTTTTTAATTTTATTTATGGATGTTTATATATTAAAAAGGATTTTAAAATAGTCATTTTAAAGTTCAAGTAATGAGTAAAGAGTTGGTCAGCCACTCCAGTGGCTCCGTATAGCACCCTAATTGGTCGGTTGTGTGTCGTACTGGTCTAGGGTGTTACACAAACACTCGTACAGATGTTGTGCTCAAACTCGATACCGTTGGAGATAATAATTATATCTTTAACTATTTAGGTCTCTTGATTCGTGTGACTTTTACGATAATAAGCATAGAGAAATAGGGATGGGCACGAGACCTAGACCCGATAGGTTTCGACACGAACCTATTGGGTTGAAGTTTTAAAAATAATCTTGGGTTAGGGTCGAGTTCAGGTTTATGTTGAAAAATACTCAATCTAACCCCTAAAAATAATATAATTATAACTTACATATTTAGAGATAATTATAATAATACTCATATCTATATTTTTTCAATTAGGTTTATATTTTTATCAATTAATATTAATATTTTTTTATAAATATGTTTATTTTAGGCCGAGTTTGAATTTTATATAAAAAGTTAATTTTGAATAAGATGAAATCATCCTAAATTTGGACCACAACAAATTTTTAGTGAAGGGAGTATATATTTTTTTTTAAGGTCGGATCGAGTTGATCGGAATCCCAGTCCAACCCCACCCCTGTCCGTCCTATAGAGGGGATATTCTCTAAATTGTGCAAATTTAGAGTCCCCGCAAGTAAAAGAAGTAAGAGCGGGGAAGCGGGGTGAGGTTTTCAGTCTGTTTCCCTCCAGAGGAAAAGGCACTTCGGATCACAAGGGGATTTTATTTAAAGTAAGACCGGGCACCATAACATAGCGAACCCTTTACTGCCTCAACACCGCAATGGCGTCCTCTTCATCGTCCAACGCCGCCGGTTACGACGTGCCCTGGGTTGAGAAATACCGGCCAAACAAAGTCTCCGATATCGTTGGCAATGAAGACGCCGTGTCTCGGCTCCAAGTCATCGCTCGCGATGGCAACATGCCCAATCTCATCTTATCCGTACCTTCTTCCTCTCACTGTTTAAGTTTTTACCTCTGATTACGATTCAGTTACTAAATAGCCATCTAAAATGTTTTATTATTAGTGGAATTAGCCTTTTTGCTTAATGTAGTTAAAACCCCCAACGTATAGAAGTGCAGACTCTATCCATTTTGATTAGTGTAATTAAAACCCCCCAATTTGTAGAAGTGAAGGCTCTGCTAGGAAACCTAGAATAACTGGTAGATTTTGGTTAAGCGTTATTGTGTGGTAGTATTTCACTATTAGGTTAAAAAGTTTAGGGAATCTCTATGTGGAAACCCTAAAATTTGGTTGGCAAGGACAGTAAAAACTTGTTTGATTTTTTTTTTCTTTTAGGACTTTTATTTATTCAAGGATTTAGTGTGTTTAATGAGTTGATGAAAGGAAGAAAATTAGGAAGTTACTAGAAATGAACAAGATTGCATGAACATTCTGCATGATATTTTTCAGGGTCCTCCTGGAACTGGTAAAACAACTAGTATTTTGGCTCTTGCTCATGAGCTTTTGGGGCCAAACTATAGGGAGGCTGTTTTGGAGCTAAATGCATCTGATGACAGGTAAGTAAATGTTTTGTGTTTCATGGCATTCTAATTTCTTTAATATTTGAATAAAAAATTTGAAAAGTTTGATTTTTCACTTTTCTTTTACTTACATAGGGGAATAGATGTTGTCCGGAACAAAATTAAGATGTTTGCTCAAAAGAAAGTAACTTTACCTCCTGGACGACACAAGATAGTTATCCTGGATGAAGCTGACAGGTAAACCATTATATGAGTACCCCATAAATTTCGCTTTTAACCTTGCATCTTTTGTTTCTCCTTTTATCTTCTAAATATGGATAAATCATCTTAACTGGTGTGTTTATGCTTTGTTAATTTTCGCTGATGCAGCTTCTGATTTTGAGTTTATATGCATTGTTGCGACTTACAGTCGCACTTTTTTTTTCTTTGATTTTGTTTTGGATTGAGTATCTGATGCTTATATATTTTATAACATTAGCATGACATCTGGTGCACAACAAGCCTTGAGGAGGACAATGGAAATATATTCAAATTCTACTCGTTTTGCTCTTGCTTGCAATACATCATCAAAAGTTATTGAGCCTATTCAGAGTAGATGTGCACTTGTCCGATTTTCAAGGCTATCTGATCAAGAGATTCTAGGCCGTCTGATGGTGGTTGTAGGTACTGAAAAGGTACAATATTTTCTTTCAATAAGTTTTCTGATCCTCTGTATGTTGGCTAAACTGTGAACTCTTGTATTTAGTTTGTTTATTTCTTCTGGTTTTCTTATTTACTCATATTGGTTAGCCTATGTGCGATTCTAACATTTGCATGTTTCCTATTTAACCTTTTTTTTTCATGTGAGTCCTTCCTTTTTTATTTGCTTTGTTACACTAAAATTAGTGGTGAATGGTTCATTTATTAGTCAAGAAATAGCAAATAGAAGGAGAATCTTATCTAATTACTTTGAAATATTTGTTTTGATTCGCATTTTTTTTTTGAACTACCGGAAATCCTGTAATCAGTGATTGTTGTTGAAGTTGATGCAAATGCATGATTGATCTCATTTTGCCACTGATTAAGGTTCCGCATGTTCCAGAGGGTCTTGAAGCTATCATTTTCACTGCTGACGGTGATATGAGGCAAGCATTGAACAACTTACAAGCTACATACAGTGGATTTCATTTTGTCAACCAAGAAAATGTTTTCAAGGTTGCAACACAGAAAAGACTTGTACCAGTTCGGTATGTTTTGTAACTTCAGGAATTCCATATAATAATAAGTTGGTTTCTGTTCAGGTTTGTGACCAGCCTCATCCATTGCATGTAAAGAACATGGTTCGCCATGTACTTGAAGGGAAATTTGATGATGCTTGTTTGGGTCTGAAGCAACTCTATGATTTGGGGTATTCTCCAACTGATATAATCACAACACTTTTCCGAATAATAAAAAATTATTATATGGCTGAGTACTTGAAACTGGAATTCATGAAGGTACATCTATCTTTCTAGGCCTGTTTTTATTTCATCTTAGAAGAAAAAATTAGTCTGTCATGATATCTCCTTGTTTCTTGTGAGTGCCAGGAAACAGGGTTTGCGCATATGCGAATCTGCGATGGAGTTGGTTCATATGTTCAGTTGTGTGGTCTTCTGGCGAAGTTTTCGCTAGCCCGTGAAACTGCTAAAGCTGCATAAGCTAAAGGTGGTTAGTAATAATAGAACCCGCTGCGTGCTTCATCCTGATATATATATATATATTAAGCAATGCATTTGGAGATGTTAGGTATCATATGTAGGAGTAGGACCTTGTGTTGACAGTAATACTGAAGTTGCTTATTGCATGGGAACTCGTCGTGGTTCCATGGCTCTTGTATTTGTTGCTAGTGAACGATGGTGGAGAATGTTTTGATGGTTTCACTTAAGAATTTGATGCCCTTTTCTTCATATGGACATTTTATCTCCAAATGTTAAGGAGCCCAACTGCCCAAGATCCTGACGATGGGGCTTTAAGATTAAGAGCTGAATTATTCTTTTTCTGTCTCATTAGATGTAGCTTCAAGCAACGTCTGTACGCTTCTTGATATTTAAGGGTGAGCATTTGATCGGATCAAGTCAAGTTGAGTTATTCGAGTTGACGACTCTTATTTTATAACTTAAATTCTATTTAAAATTTTTATGGGTCGAGTGAAGTTTATAAAATTAAAATCAAGTCGAGTTGATTTGAGTTTGCTTAAATTTATTTATAAATATTTATAATGTTATGGTACTATACATATAGGGGCAAGATTCAATTACATTTTGTAAAAAAATTTAGTTTTACATTTTTTTTGGGATTATTGGATGAGGGAAATCAAAGGTTAAGATTAACAGCAAAATACGAGATGATATTCATTGAAAAAAAGGGGTTAATCTTAATGTTTGATTTCTTTAAAGCCAACTATATTAAAAATGTGTAAAACTTACAACTGTAAGTGGATCGTAACCCATAATATATATGTGCGTAGTTGAATTTGATTCAAATTTGAAAATTATTTCACAAATTATTAAAAATTGTGTTATTTGAGTTTTATTTTATAATTCAGTTTGGATTTAAAATTCTTTCAAGTTGAGTTTAGCTTATAAAATTATGAGTAGAATTTTTTTGGCATGAGTTGTGTTAGAAAAATTTAATTTTTTGTTTATAGTTAACTGCATCACTTATTTTCAAATTATGATTCTTATTCTAAATTAGTCTTTAAACTTTTAAATTTTCTAAATTTATCTCTAAATTATTACTATCATTTTAAATTGGTCCTTAAATAATTGAAAAATCATTTTCATCCTCAATATTATATGTATATATTAATCATACGTATATACTAATCATGTTCTCAAACTATACGTATATACTAATGTCTTTTGTTAATAAAATTAATAGACCAAGTTATATTATTATATGTTTGAAGAAAATAAAATTCAGGTTAAGTTATGCTTGAAACTAGTTATATATTTGGATGACTTTGGGATGAAATTAAAAGATTAAAAAGTTTCGGGACTAATCTGGAATGAGAGTCATAATTTGAAGATGAAATTAGAATGTTTAAAAATTTAAAGATAAATTTAAAATGAAATTCATAGTTTGATAATGTATTTAAAATATTCAAATTTTATGGACTTATTTAAAATAAAGATCTAAATGTATATTTATACAATTAATTCTTAAATTTATCCCGAACATAAAAAAAAAGTATCGACATACGTGCTATAATAGAAATAAAGTGAAGAGGCAGCGAATGACGAATGGGGAAGGTGTGGAGGGTCGTTTCAAAGGATATGGAATGATACCAAGTCTGCAGCCAACTCATTTCCTAAATATTTTCGCTTTTTTCTTTTGCAGATTCGCTACAACGAAGGAAGTACACGCGTTTTACTTTTGCTCGTTATCCACATAATTTCAGCGTAGGTTTTGGGTAAACTACAGAAATGGTCACTATTATTTAAGTAATTTTGCTTTTATCCCACTGAAGTTTTAAAAGTAATAAATTGATTACTAATATTATCGATTTATACGATCTGCTGTTACTGTAGTAACGAAATACTGACATGTTATATTAAACTAGCTAACTCAGCATATTTGACCGATTGTTTGATTGATCGTTTGACTCACCTCCTTCTATAAGCATCTTAAAAATTTATATTATACATGCCAAAGTTTAAACTCGAAGCAGTTCAGTAGAGGCATTGTTTGTTTAGCATAACTTGTTAATTAATTAATTAATTAATCAAACTAATGAAATTATAATAAATTTGAAAATTAATCAAACTAATGAAATTATAATAAATTTGAACTACTCTCACATAGACCTCGAAAACCATTATCACCTTCATTGATCTCTTCCATGCTTATCTATAAAATACAATGGCTTTCTTCATCTCAGTTTCATACCATCTTCCAAAAAAAAAAAAAAAATAAGCCTCCTGTTATGAAGATATTCGTTTCCTTTTCTTTGTTAATAACTTATGCGGAGCCACTTTCATTTAACTTCACCGGTTTTGGTCCGAATATGGGAAGCATTCACTTTGAAGGAGATGCTCTCTCATCGCAAGATGTTCTACAACTCACCAAGAATGATGCTATTAACAATCTCACCGGTAGCGTTGGACGTGCCTCGTATAATCAACCTGTGCGCCTTTGGGATGCTAGTAGATTTCACCACTCGTTTCTCCTTATTACAAGCTATCAATCTTAGTTTCTATGGTGATGGGATATCCTTATTCATCAACTGTGACGAATTAGAAGTAGAACATATGGGATTCAACAACCATTTGATAAGCGAAATCCGAACCATCTGTACCAGGAAGCCTCCCCGACACCGACACTCTTTGATGCATTTCTGCTACTATGCCTTTTTCAACTATTATTTCAAGAAACAAGTCATTTGAACCATTAGGAAATGCTTTACGCAGTCAAAAGACTAGGAATTTATCCTATCAAATAGATGTTAGAAGTATAACAATAAGAGACAATAAAATTAAAATTAAAATTTTTCATTAAATAATCGAAAAGAACGGTATAGAAATAAATACACAATTTTTACGGAACAACCGATTGGAAACAGGTTGAGGTATGCAACTACACAGTTTACTTAAGACATATTTTCGGCCACTCCTTGATGCTCAAGATTTTTGGATGTCTGTCTCCCAAGATACTTCTATGAGATGATCAGTGGACAGTAACACAACTGCCGAGATCACGAACTATTCCTTGCCTTCGTTTATCACCGAAATAACTAGAGGAGAGAAAAAAAATGTTTTGAATAGTTTTTGAGTTGTTTGAATTGTGTTTAACTTAGTAAGTTTACACGGTATTTATAGGGATTTCACATTATGAACATTTGAATTTTTTTTACCTAATGAAGCATTAATGAGAATCAAGGAATCAAACAATTTCCAAAATTTCTATTTTGATTAAAGGAACATTTTAATATTTATCCTTTTAATTCCAAAACAAATTTTGAAAAGATATGCTCTATTTGTTGAAAAATATTTCACATTTGGATTGAAATATCCGCAAGCCCACAAAGAGCCTGACCAGTTCAGACATTAACATTACTCACATTATGCACGTCTGCACATGTACGAACCAACAATTGGTTCCACATTTTCTTCATCAACGTTTGGATCAATTTCTCATTTAAATCTCCAAAATCATTAAAAAGTTTCAACAATAGATATCGTGATACAAAAAGCACACAATTTTTAGAAGGAACTGCAGTTATCTACTGAATGTTGAGATGGGACAAACCCAAAAACCTAATTGCCTTGTGTATTTTATTAATGAATACTGAATGAAATTGCTTCGTGTTTGAATATATGAAACACCATCAAAAGTTGTTTTGATTGAAAAGGACGAGAAGATGGAGAAGAAGAAGAAAGAGAAAGAGAAGGAGGAGGAGGAGGAGGAGAGTCAAATGATTGGTCAAACAGTCGATCAAACATGTTGAGTTAATTAGTTTAACGTACTTATGTCAGTATTATGTTACTATAGTGACGACTATTAATGAAAAGTTATCGGTTTATTATAAATCGATAACGTTAGTGACCAATTTTTTACTTTTAAAACTTCAATGGGAAAATGAAAACTTACTCAGACATTATGACCATTTATATAGTTTACCATTTTTCCCCTTAATCCATTAAAATGAATTCATCCAAAACAAATCACTAAGGTCACTTGTGCTATTTTAATATCTCTAATTATTTTTAAAAGTTTTTTTTCTGATATGTTTTATCTTCTAATATTTATTTTTGTTACTTGTTTTATTTTAATATCAATTAAATTGTGTCATAGTATTTTAATATCAATCTATATAGCCTAATTTTGTTACTATTAAATTTCACTTTTAAACTTTCTCTCTAAGTTACAAAGTACATAAACTTGTCATAGTATTTTATGAATTAAAAAGTGAGTATAGAAACAGACCATGCACCAGGTAGGTCTCTAAAAAAAAAGAACTAATGCACTAGGAACGCTTAAATACCAAGTCTTTTCCATAATCAATCCTAAACATGCACTCTCATATTATCACACAACTTTTAAGTCAACCATTTATCATTTTATTATAAGAGTTTCATAACAACTTATGCTCAATTATTTCATGCAATGATATAACATGAATTTGAAAAAAAAATCTAAACCTGACCTTAAAGCTTGACCAAGTAGACTTGTTCATCCTCTGCATGCCTAATTTTTCAATTCTCTTATCATCACCTTTGAAAATTGATTCCAAAAAAGTTATTCAACATGTGACTTTTGATCACCCTCGCATGTTTGACCCACTTTATTAATATTTGTTCCAAAAATGTGTCTGGCTCAAAGACTTGAAACAGACAAAAGATGGTTCCACGCACGAGCAACATAAGACTGTTCAAGCACATAATTTATATTAAGCGTAGTTATGTTTAAACAACATTAAAATTGATTATAAAATTTTGGAAAACAATACTGCCGCAAAACAATTCTGTTAGCATCAGGGATTTAAATAGCGTTCGCAGTCGTGTCGTGTTTATCGCGGTTGCGGACATAACTGATATCATCGCGGTTACTGCAAGTGTCACAGTCGTGAATTTTTTTCAATTATTTAAAATATAATAATTATAATTATAATGAGTCATTTTTAATGATTTTTAGAATATTTTCTAAGCAAAAATGACATATATTTAATTAAACTAGTTTAACATGATAATCAAAATGTAATGAAGTATGAAAAACGAAGGTTGAAATTTTGAATGGAAATTGAATAAACTTAAAGAATAATACTAAATTAAATAGAATTAAAATAAAAGTATAAACCTAAAGAACACAAAATTAAGACTAAATTAAATAAAAAAACTAAAGTTTATATTCTAAAGTAAGGATTAAATTATAAATTCTAAAAGGAGGAAGGGATGACAAATTAATATATCTCTTAAAATATATTTTAAAATTTATT